GTGGGAATGAGGTGACGCTTTCTCTCTTCAGTAACCATGTTGTTGGCGGTTACTCCAAGAACACTTTGTGTGCAATGTCAGTGATATACTGTATTTTACCATTCCCAGTCTTAAGAATCTGTAGGGGCTGGACTCACAGATTTAAGACACAATTTAAATAGACATTCTGTGGTTCTGAACTTTAACTGAATTTAAAATATTTGTGTGAATTCATGAGGTGTTTATCTTAGAAGAAAACACACACACACCCCTATTGCACGGTGGAAGCTCTATAGATTGACCTCCCAAGGGACTGTGACAAACTGGTCAACATACAGAGGTGGTCAACATAAAGGACTAGGCCCACTGTACTGACACATCCATGTGGCACATGTCCAGTCTGTGAAAATGAGGTCAACTGAAGGAAACGGTCAGTGTAGGGAGGCGATTGACTATGGAGGTTCTAGTGTGTATGAGTGTATATACACACACACACACATATACACATGACACAGAGAATGCTAAAAGATGGTATATACATTTTAAGAAAAGAAAAAAATTGCAGTTACCCAATAACAAAAGATGAATACAGGTCATGCTGAGCACCTCTGTGACTGCAGAGTCTAACCCGGCTTAAGAATTACAAATTTCATACAGTTTTTTCCTTTCATAAAACGTTTCTTCCTTTCTTTTTTGGCACACTCTGTATTTTGAAGGGGTTCAAAATATGCTACTGTGACATATATATTCTGATCTGAAGCCATTTGAGTTCCTAAAGCCCCTTCACTGACTAAAAGCAGAACTTCCCAAAAGAACTAAAAAAAAAAGCCTCAATTGTCATAAATGCCCCTCCGAGGAACAACGGAGCAGAGAAGATTGCCTCTTATCACCACCTGGGAGTCTTCACACCACACCTAAACAGACACTGTCACAAAACCATCATGTCTCCCATCTATTCTCCCAAGCGCTTATTTTTCTTTCCAAAAAGTGATTTTTTTTCCCCTACGTGGACTTTCTCCCCCTCCTATTACTCTATTAAGATCATATGTGAACCCCAAATTCTAACTGCCCCTTTGAGCCACATCTTTTTTCTAGAAACTCTTTTACACATAGAATTAAGTGTGTTTTTTCTTGCCAATCTGTCCTTTGTCAGTTTATCTTCCTCTGAACCAAGATAGTAGAGGAAAAGTCCTTTCTACCCGACAGTTCGGTCAGGAGGATGAGATGGTGGGGACTCCCTGCCCCACACGCAGAGTCAGAGCCTGAACCTGAATTTCCACTGTCTAGTGTGAGCTTCACTCACTGTGGCCCAGATTTCTACGGAGGAGTCAGTCATGTGAGCGCAGTACGATCCTCTCATCTTCTCTTTCTTCTGTTTAATCCTCAGACTCTGAACCACTACCTCTTGGACAACACGCACGTACACCCACACAAACACACAAACATGCCCCAGTTAGAAAGGATATATAGAGCCAGTTTTAATTTTAAACGGTGGGAAATAGGTCAGGTTCAGTGGCTCATAGCCACAAGCATTTGGGATGCTGAGGCAAGCAGACTGCTTGCGGCCAGGAGTTTAAAACCAGCCTGAGCAAAAGTGAGTCCCCATCTCTACAAAAAAAAATAGTAAAACTAGCCAGGCCTGGTGACACACACATTTAGTCCCAGCTACTCTGGAGGCTGAGGTAGGAGGATCACTGGACCTAAGAGTTGGAGGCTGCAGTGAGCTACTATGCACACACAGTCTATCCTGGGCCATGAAGAGTCTGTCTCAAAACACAAACAAACCAACCTAGGAGCTTTATGCAGAGAACTGGAAGGAAAGGAAAAAGATCTAGCATGTACCTTGCTTGCCCCGTACTAACTGTACTACTGGCTAACAAAATAGCAGAGAAGGAAAACTTTCTCTTCATAGAGTTCCAGCAAATAAATAAAAAGGAAAGCGCAGAATATACTATAAGGATGTCGTAGCCTGAGTAGATCGTGATTCTAGGCATCTTGCATCACCTGCAAACTGGCCTCTTGAGCCGTGGTTCTCCACCTTCCTAATGCCGCGACCCTTTAATATAATTTCTCATGTTGTGGTGACTCCCAACCATAAAATTATTTTCATTGCTACTTCATAACTGTCATTTTGCTACTGTTATGAATGGTAATGTAAATATCTGATATGCAGGACGTATTTTCAGTGTTACAAAGGGGTCGCGACCCACAGGTTGAGAACCGCTGCTCTTGAGGAAGAGTACCCCACAACCTAGGAAGTATCTTGTCAGATGGGGAGGGGGGACCTTTAAACTGGTTAAGTCTCTAGGTCCAATTTTCAGTCTATGGGAAGCACAGAGGATAGAAGAACATTACACCATCTCATGAACGTCATTAGCAAAATCCAGACTGTGGGAAAACTCTACAAGGTGACTGGTCTGTTTTTTTCAACCAATAATTTTTAAAAGAGGGAGAGTGCTTACCAATCTAATGGGCACAATATAAGGGTACACAGCATACCCCCCTGGGTGAAGGGTCCAACTACAACTTGAACTTTGTACCTTCGAAATGCAAACAATCTAACCTAATCCTGGGTACCCTCATATTACTCTGAAATATAAATAGAGAGAAAGAGAATTAACTATATTAAGAAAACTTAAAGATCATCAAGATACTTTTAAAAATGGCTATAAAGTAAATTCAAAACTAAACTCTAATATTTAGGGATGTACACCGGGTAATAAAATATAGAAAAGCAGGGACGTGAGAATAAGAATCAGAACAGCGGTAGTTACTCTCAAAAGGAAGGGAAGGGGCTGTATGTGGGAGAGGGTGCTACATTATATAGGAACACTTCCCAAGCTCGTCTACTACTCAATAAGGGTATGGTATGCTTCAAAGAAAAGAAAGAACATAAAGGAAATATTATATCACTTTTAATTACATTTAAAACTTCACAAAATGCTTCCTGAAGCAATGACCAGGTGCAAAGTTTGCAAACAGCAAAGTGCTTTGTGAGCACACGCTTGAAATAACTGCTCGTGTAACTGTAAAATTGCTGAATTGAATTTTATGCTCAGGAAAGAAAAATAACATTTGATGTCTCAGACACTGCCAGAGACTACCTATTCCTTGAAGTTCCCTTCACTTGGCTTCTCTTTCATTCTCCTAGGAGACTTTAAACATTTTGCTCACCCCACCAACTTCTTCCAACTGCCCCTCAAATGTTGGTGTCCCTTGGTATTTTGTTCGCTGGTCTTTTTACTTCTCAATTTGAGATTCCTGCCTGTATTGAACTCAATTTTTACCTCTCATACTTCTTGCAAAACTCTAAGCCTCACTCACGACTTCTTTCTTGATCGCAGGGCCCACAGCTCCAGGTGTCTACTGAGCATCAAACTGCCTATCTCAGGGGAAGTTCAGACTCACCGTATCAGAGGGAAGATCCATTAGCACTCAGTGAACTGTAACACAGAGTCACATGCTGCAGTGTTCAGTTGATTCTACCTCTGGAATGTCAGTCACATTTGTCCAGTTTTCTTCAACCTTCCTTAATATATATATTTTTTTAATCAGGCCCAGGCAAATGACCTCCTAAGTCCTCTTGGCTACTTTCTCTTCCTCCATCTATTTTTTTATAATGACACCAAAGTTGTCCTAAAAGTAAAACTCAAAAGTATTGAACTGCCCTGAGTAGAAACTTTTCATTTGCAAAACAAAGTATCTTTACATTGGATGCCACAGTTTCCTTATTTGTAAAATGCAACAATAGGTATTTCATGAGACTGTAGAAAGTGCTACCGTACGAAGGGTACTAGGAACATCATTTAGCAATTCCTCAATAAATGCCTATACTGCTCACCACTATCTCACTGGGAAATACAATAAAGCCTAACACAGATGGTGATAAGAGGGAGATGCTGATCATATCATTTAATCTTCACAACAGCTTTATGAGATTTATGAGGTAAGTATCATTGTTATCACTCTTACTTTACAAACAAAGCCGAGAGGTGGCTACTTTGTCTAAGATGCCACATTTAGATAATGGGCAGCACTGAATATCGTATTTAGAGAAGGCTAAGTCCAGATTGTCACACCCAATAGTATATATGCCAATGCTCAAAGATGTGAAATTGCCATGATAATGACATTATCATCCTCAAATTATTGATCTAAGATTTTAAGTAAAAGAAAATATTAGTCTGATAACTAGAATCTACAGAGACCTCAAACTAAGCAATAAGAAAAGAATAAATAACCCCATTTCTATATGAGCAAGAGACTTGAACAGAAAATTCTCTGATGAAGATAGGTGCATGGCCTACAAACATATGAAAAAATGCTCATCATCCTTAATCATCAGAGAAATGCAAATGAAAACCACTTTGAGATA